TCACCAGGTTGGCCCCTGAGAGAAATCCACACACACAGAGCCACGGCATTGACACTGGGAAACATGACACAACATTTAGCCTTGTCCTGATGCACTGCTGAAAAGCACCAGAACTCTGGATGTGTACATCCTACAAACTCTGCTGATTGTTATGGCCACTCTGGAGGCTCCCAAGGGAGGGACAGGGCCTGGCACTGGGTGAGGGCTGAGTGCTGGCTGCAGAGAATACCCTGGGGTGATGCTCACAGCCGTGGGCTGCCTGGCTCTTGTCAGGGCACAGCGGGCACAGCAGGGGTGGCGGGTCCCCATGGCCACTGTCCACTGAGGTGGGTCACCCCATGGCCCCTGAGTCAGAGGGAGTCACCCCAAGCTGATGTGGTGAGCAGAGAGAGCAGAGAGAGCAAACAGAGCAGACAGAGCAGGCAGGGCAGACAGAGCAGACAGAGCAGGCAGGGCGGGCAGGGCAGGCAGGGCTGGCAGGGCAGGCAGCCCAGTACATACCCACAGCACATATGGGGCAGCACTCAGTGCCATTGGGGTGCTCGCCCATCCCACAGCCCACGGCATCCGAACACTCCAACTGCATGACCAGCACCACGGCGAGGACCTCGGGGCAACACAAGGACCAGGTTATACCTCAAGAACCGAATTCTGCCTCCGGGGCACCAAGGCTGTTTCCTCACGGCCACCAAGACTGTTCCCTCACAATCACCGAGGCGGTTTCCTCACGGCCACCCAGACTGTTCCCTCACGATCACTGAGGCAGTTCCCTCATGGCCCCACTCACCAGACAGATGGGGCCCTGCCCAGGCTGCTGCCGCCATCTCAGAGGCCTCCCTGCGGCCCACGGCTGCTGCCACATGTGGGACGGAATGGGACGGGTTCTGTACCCACTTGACACCCAAAAGAAAGGAATTGACTTGCAGGAAGGGCAGGGGAGGGCATGTGCAGCTCCAGTCCTCTGAGGGGGCCCGTAACGGTCACACCATTCCCTCTCTCCTGGCCCGCTACAGCACGGAAGGCTTTGGCATGGCCTAGGCCCAAAGGCAGGAAAATACTCAATTGCAGCAAAGAAACCCCTCCAAAACCGGCAAACACTTCAAATCCTGGCAAACAAACCAGCCCCTCAAATCATGGAACAAACCCTCAAATCCTGGCATACAAAACCCTCAAAGCCCACTTCAGGGGCCACCTTTGTCTCTATCCACAAAATCCTGCTCACACACACACACAGGACTAACCAGCAAACACCCCATTGCTGAAGGAAGACATCAGGGAGGCCTCACTGGCACTACCTGACCCAAAACCAAGCGCCCCAGCCCACCAGGACTGCTCACAGCTCCTCCTGCCCTCCCAGCATTGACACTGCTTGACCCAGTTGCACTCAGACCCCCCCAGCAGATGTTTGGGTTACCAAAAGCACAGGCAGCAATGAAACCCAGCTGTTGCCAGGATTATTCAAACCCTCCTTGGTGGGCCCACGATCCTCTGACAAAGGACAACTCCTGCTCATGTGACAGGAAGGTCTGAGCTCACCTCTTCTTGCCCTGGGACGGGTTTGACGAGTCCAAATTCGTTGGTATTGGAGAGAAAGGGTTCTCATTAATAAAAACTTTATTCAAAAACACAGTGGTCAGATCAGATATTAACTTTCTTTATTAAAACATATATGCGCCATGGTGTGCACAATTGCTTTTCTCAGCAATATCTTCTTGACTCCTTAAAATGAAAAATCTTTTCGAAATACATTTGTACACTCTGTTACGTATGAGTTATATGGAATGATTAAAATGGAAAAATCCCCACTTTTTCCCAACAACAAGCAATAAAGAAATAATCAATGTGTACCAAGTGTCAGCTGTCCATGGGGGAAGGAAAGATGACAGTCACTCATGCATATGTAGAAAAAATGTTTTGTGCTTGGTTGTTTTTAACCATCCCCATTTTCTGCCATGGATCAAACAAGACTCTCTGATTCAGGCTTGGTTTCTTCAGGGTCAGCACCAGCTTCTTGCACAGGAACAGTTGTTTGATCCTCTTTCTCCTCGATGAACCTCAAAGCCTGTTCATGCTTTAGGACACATCAGAGGAAAACACAGAATATGAACAGTCAGGTTTTAGCAGCTTTTATCAGCAATTCCTGCTCCTTCCACTCCTACCACACACACCTGGGCTTATTCCTTAAGGCCAAGAGCCACTGCTGGGCCCCTCTCAAAGCACACTTCAACACATTCCCCAAAAAGAGAAAGCAAGGAGACAGATACTCACCTCGGACTCCTGCATCGCTGCAAAGGAAAGCAAACAGTCCCATCAACAAGCAGGAAGGGCAACTTCTTCAGACTAAATGGTACAGAACTACCCCTTTACAGTCACACTCTTTGTACTTACATGGCACAAGACTTCTCATTTTCCTCCTCTGACAGGTATGTGTGATGGCAGCTACAACAGCCACCACGATCACAACAGAGACAAGGATTGCTATGACTGCTGGCTCAGGTAGAGCTGGGGAAGAGTACTGCTCCTTAAGTCTGATGTGAGAAAAGAAATAATTTGATACTACAACCTGCCAGCAGACCCTGCTCTGGAACTGCTGCCCGGCTTTT